TCCAACAGATCCCAGGAACAACATCTGAGATCTCTGTCCAGAAGAGTGCAGTCCTAGGATCAGCTAAGATACTGTACAGGACCCTCAAGCCCCCAGGCCTCTGGTAGAGGACCCAAGCTTGAAAGAAGGAATAAGACCACCCCGAAAAGGGGGGCGAGTGGGGATTTTTTTTTATACATATATGTAACCAATAAATATAAGAAACCTGCTACCTTAAGGTTTTGTACAATTTATCCACATTTGCAAACACGTTTTCTTAAACACAAATGAAATACTTCCACAGACTTCAAGAGTTTTCAGAATCAGAATCAGAATTGGCTTTATTGGCCAGGTGTGTTGAAGACATGAAGAATTTGACTTTGGTGCAGTGGCTCTCAGTGTGTGTGTACAGTGTACATCTGTAAAGCAACAAGTAGACAAATGTGCATTGTAAGACTGAGAGAGCAAAAAATAAATAAATAAATAAAAGAATGTGCAAATAAGAAAAAGGAATGTGCATTAGGAAAATAAAAATAATAATAAGGCTTTTCCCCAAACACAGTCACTACAATACAAAGAAAAACTGTAATATGATCAGTACGCTTTATTGAGCACCCTGAGATGACTCTTTGTCTTTTCTTTATTTGAGGCGTCAGGGCCAATAAAATTTAAGAGTCAGAAGGAAGTCATTCACCTCGGCCAGAGAACTATGCCTCCACCTATGGCCACAGTGGCTGCTGTACAATTTACAGACTTGCTTTAATACAACCTTTTGCTGGTATTGTACAGCAGTACTTAGGAACAGGCTCCATATTATGTCACTCATAATAAGAAACATAGAGGTCCCACAACATTTAAGTCATTATATTTCACTGGATCACTGATGCAAGACGAGGCAACTGTAATGCAATATGTAGAAAATTGAGTCTTTGAGCTTGATTGGTGTGTCATGGCGAGACAACAGCCTGACATGATGGTGACAAGGGGTGGCAGCTTTGCTGTGGCACAACACAGAAAGACTGGGCTTTTCGTAGCTGACATCAGTCAATCATGGTTTATAGAGGTGGAAGACAACAAGAGGAAAGTAAAACTGAAGAATGGGAGTAATCCTGCTGCCTGTCCTCTTCCTCTCTGTCACATTAAGTGCCTGCAAATATCTGTGGAAATCTCTGGCTGCCTGAAGTCACTAATCATGTGTTATGTTTGACAGGAAAACTGCAGTGCCAGATGAATTACTGCTGCAAATATTACAGCAGCTATATAATGAGTAAATTATTTCTATCCCACTACATGTGTCTCTACTATTCATAGATCCACCCCCTCCTTCTTCTCTGTGTCCCATATAGGGAGCTTTAGGGTTCTATTTTCCTAAAATAGGGCATGTTACACCCTCAAAAGGGAGAAAAATGAAGAAAGATTTCACACACGGTGCTCACTTTCTGGCATCTTTATGAGGAATGAATTTTGTACAAAAACATAAAATACCATTATCAGTGTATCATGGCAGTAGCCATTTTCACAATAACCAGCATTACACTGTCTTAGCTGCAGTCCAGCTTCAAACCATTTCACTGCTGTCCTTTAAATGTCCTTTACCCAAAATGTATCTGAACAGTCCAGTGAATCTCATCATCAAAGAGACACAAGAGTGCACAGAATTTCTCATGTGAGACCACAGCTACAGTGCTTTTTTGAAATCCTCTTTTACTTTAACAAACATGACTTTCTTCAAGTGTTACGCATGCACAGCTGTAAAAACATGTCCTGGGAAGTTAATCATGGATGATTATAAATGTTTTTCTTAATGAATTGTATTGAAATGTGTAAAGCTAAACATAAAACTGATTTATTGTAACAGTACTGGATCTCGAAGGACCCCTCTGTCAAGCTCCTAAAGTTTGCTGATGATACAATGGTTATTGGTCTCATCTGAGATGGGGATGAGTCAGCCTACAAACGGGAGGTTGAGCAGCTGGTCCTGTGGTGTAGCCGCAACAACCTGGAGCTGAACACGCTCAAAACTGTGGAGATGACAGTAAACTTCAGGAACCCCCCCAGGCCATCACTCTGATGAACACTTAACCAATGACAGTATGACTGGACAATAACCCTCAGTGCAATACCTGTAAATATACATTGTACAGATTATACAGACTTGTACAAGTCTCTATTTTTAAATACTTATAAAAATAGCTTTTGATTTTTTTTAGAGTTGTAAGGGAATCAAACAATAATTGTTGATTTTTAATATTTTTCAATATTGCTTGCTGCTATGCTCTAACTCTCCTTAAATCTATATCAAATTTGTAGACTAAACTGTAAACTCTTTCTCTTTATTGAGACATCATTATTATTACTATTTCAGCTATTGTAGAGTGTTAGAAATTGCATGAAGTGATCTTTAAAGCTGCATATGATGTTTACTACATAAACTCAATTACAATTGGTTTAAGTGTGATTAACCTCGTGGGACTAAAGTAGTGATGAGTAATTATTAAAATCAAAATGAGCACCAGTTTTACATTGTGTTGCCTAAACAGCATAAACATAGCCTCAACTGCACCTCTCCTCCCACCTCAGCATAAGTTTTCATATGGCAGGAAAACACCAAACACACCAACGCACAAAAAATATAGACTTGCGTCCAAGGGAAACATCAAATGAACATTTGAAGCCACACTGGTTTTGCACATGCAGGAAAATAGAGTCCTTAATATCATATACAGTAATGGTCACACACAGCAGAAAACAAACCCTACCCTGCAGAAGGTAACTTGACAGAATGCAGAGGTACTTGTTTTGTTCTCCACTGTACAAAGCAGTGAGATCACATTGTAACTGTCCTCAAACTCAGCATGGGTGCACCGATCCGCACTCATTATTTTTATGGACAGAATTTCTAGG